GGGTCAGAGAGGAAACAATGCCATCTGCTCAGCTCTCAGCCAGCTTTTAGTCACTTCCCCCACTACACACAAAGAAATTGGGCTCTTTTGGTCCTACATTTTAGGACCCTGTGGCTCTCTCCAGGGTCCCAGTCTCATGTGAGGCTGGGAATCTGTCCTGCTGCCCCAACTCTTATAGGTTTTTACAGTCAGAGGTTTTGGGGCTTTATTTCCCCATGCTGGAACCCTGGGTTGTATGGTTTGTCTCACTCCCCAGTTGTTCCTCCTGGTTTATCTGCACACAGATGTGGGACCACCCAGTCTGCCAGTCACCACCTTGCTGTGCATTCTCTCTGCCTGGCTGCCCATCTCTACCCTTCCTACCAGTCTGGATGAATGTTTTCTCTTTAACTTCTTGGTTATGAGACTTCCATACAGTTTGATTTTTCTGGCTTTTAAATTTGTTGTTCTTGTTTTTAATTTTTTTTGTTTTTAAATTTGTTGTTCCTCTGGTTGTGTGAGAAGACAAAGTATATCTACCTAAGTCTGCATCTTGACTGAAAGTCCTATTTAGAAAATTCTATAAGTTGCAGGGTAAAGGATTAACATAAAATAATTTATTTTATTTATATATATAAATAAGCAATAAATAAACTGAAAATAAAGTGAAAAAACCCACTTATTCAAAATTACAAAACATTGTTGAAAGTAATTAGTGAAACTTTAAAAATTAAGTAATGTCCAAAGTTTATAAGTTGGCTTTATTGTTAATACGTCAATACTCCCCAAATTAATCTGTAGATTCAATGCCACCATTATTAAAAACTCAATTGACTTATATACAGAAATTGACAAGCTGATTCTGAAATGTATTTGGAGATTCAAGGGACCTAGAATAGTAAAAACAACTTGGAAAATAAAAGACAACATTGTAGAACTCACACTTAATGATTTCAAAAGCTAGAAATTACTACAAACCTGCAGTTATCAAGACCATATGATACTCGCATAAAATATAGGTATGTAGATCAAATGGATGAAACTGGCAGACCTGAATTAAACCTTTACATAAATTAGCTTATGATCAATTGTTTTGAAACAAAGGTGTATGGACCATTTGTTAGGGGAAAAATTGTATTTTCAAAAAAGTGTGCTGAATAAAATGGGTGGCTACATGAAAAAAGAATGAATTTGAACTCATTCCTTATATCCCACAAAAAATTAACTTAAAATACATCACAGACTTAAATGTAAGAGCTAAAGTTATAAGATTCTTATAAGAAATTTTAGGTTATGCAAATCTTCTTATACAATACACTAGAAGAACAAATATTCAAAGAACAAATAGATTGAATTTCATCAAAATTAGAAACTTTTGTGTTTCTAAGAACACAACCAAGAAAATAAAAAGACTGCCCATAGAATGGGAGAAAATATTTGCGATCATATATCTGATTAAGGACTTATATTTAGAATATATAAAAAATCTTACAAGGCAATAATATAAAGACAATTCTATTGCAAAAGTAGGCAAAGAATCTGAATAGACATTTCTTACAGATATACAAATGGACCATCAACTCATAAAAAGATGCTTACCAATTATAGCCATTAGATAAATGTACATTAAAAGTTCAGTGTGATACCACTTCACACCCACTAGGATGGTTAAATAAAAAAGATAAAAATAATTGAAAAGGATGTGCAGAAATTGAAATCTTCATACATTACAGATAGGTATATAAAATTGCACCAATTGCTTTGGAAACCAGTCTGGCTCAAAACATTAAACATAGAGTCACCATATGTCCCAGCTATTGCACTCCCGGACAGGAGGTCTGTTTAGAAGTCATATAACATAAAAAATAGAGGCATTTATTGAAGAAGATATAAAATACAAGAAACATTGAACACAAGACAATGACACCTTAGTCCCTTCAAAATAAGCATCCTGGGACCTCACACAGTTCTCCCATTCTCTATCAGCAGCCCCCTCGTATTTTCCTGAATCTCACTGATAGTCTGAAATATCTTCTCTTTCAAAGGTGATTTTAGTTTTCGGAAAAGCCAGAAGTTGCAGGGTGCCAAATGAAAGAGAAAGGTTGAGTCACTGGGAGATTTGATGTTTCTCCAAAAAAACTCTTCACAAGACATGATGCATGAGTAGATGCATTGTCATCATGAAGCTGACAATCACCAGTAACCCATAGCTGGGGCCTTCTGAATCATCTGAATAGTTTCCATGGAGGGATGTTCAAGCTTAACACGAAATTTCATGAAGATTTGTTGCTCTACTTGCTCAGTCATTTTTAATACTATGGCCACACAGTACACTTACTCAATAACATCTACTGCCCTCACTGACTAGAACAGTGAAGTCATTACTCTTCATACATTCCATCTACTCTTCTCAGCTACCAGGTTATGATGAAGTTGTGCAAACCGTTCTTATTATATTAACAATGGCTGGACTCTTTCTGGATAAACCTTGTATATCCAAGAGATGTGAAAACATATATTGTCACCAAAACTTGTACATAAGTGCTCATGCCATTATTTATAGAAACCTAAAACAGCAGAAAAAATCTAAGTGTCTATTCTTTGACAGCATGGATAAACCTTGATAACACTGTGGTAAGTGGAATAAGTCATGTACAGAAGACCACATTTCCATTTATGTGACATATCCAGAAGAGGAAAATCAATGTAAACAGAAGGTATAGTTGCTTGAGTAGGGCTGGGAACATTAGAATTTTGCTCCCATGAGGAATTTTAACATGAGGAATGACTGTTAATGGGTATAGGTTTCTATTTTGGGAGTGATCAAATGTCCTAAAATTGACCATGGTGATAGTTGCATAACTTTGTGAATAATCTAAATACCATTGAATTGTATACTTACATGGGTGAATTGTATGGTATGTGAATTATAACTCAATAAAACTGTTAAAAAATGTGACTCTAACATTTATTGTTTTGAATGTTCAGTGAAGTTTTTCTTTGGAGCTAATGCCAAGTCTTGGGAATATACAGGGTCTGGCACAAATAATACCCCTATTTACAAAATCTTTTATTGTAAAATCATAAGTGTGTAGTTTTGAAATATAATGATATCACACTCAAGCACATCATATAAAATTTTAGGTGAAATGTTCGAATTAAAACTATAAATTATTACACCCATATCATTACCTTACCAACCACACTCACACAGGAGTTACTTCTGCTGGACCCTGTACATTGAGAATAGCTAAGAAGCTTTGAATTCATGTTGCTATTTTAGAATCTTTACTAGTGCTCTCTTTTAATTGATGTTGTTAGGCTTTCCCTTAATAATGACATGTTCTTTAACAATGGTCCAGAAATGAAAGAAGCAAAATTTTTCAACAAGAAATTTTAACTACTACCATGCATTTGAAATCAGAACTTCCAACATGGACCTCAGTAGCACTCACCGTATGTAGCCAATACAAATTACTAACCACCAAGTGGCTTCAACAACTCAAGTTTATGATTTTGTAGTTTCATAGTGTAGAAATTCGATGCAGATCTCTCTGGATTAAAAGTAAAGGGTCTTCAGTGCTGCATTTGTTTTAGGAACTCTGACAGAATGTTTCCTTGCCTTTTCCATTTTACGGGTCTTTTGTATTCCTCTTGGCTCATGTCCCCCTTCTTCCTTCTTCAAAGTCAGCATTGAATAGTCGAGGCTTTGTAACACTGCATCACTCTTACCTAGCTGCCATTGTCACACCTTTTTGGCTCTCTTCCTCTGCATCTCTCTTCCACCTTTAAAGATCTTTTGGTTACCTTGGGCCCATCTAAATAATCCAGGATAATCGCAGGGATAATCCAGGATAATCCAGGATAATCGCAGTCTTAGTTCTATCTGCAGTCACAGGTTATGGATATCTTTGGTGGGGGGCATTAGTTTGCCTACTGAATAATGATTTTCTCTTGGTGAAAATGTGTACAAGTTAAGGTAATGGAGAAAGCCCTGTGGGTTCATGGTAGTTTGATTAATCACTAAAAGAGAATTTCTTTTTGGGCAACAGTAGGGGTTGGCATCAGTGAAAGTACGCCTTTATTTTGCAAAGAGGAGAAAGGCTATTGTGAACTCAGGCTTATTCTTAGACAAACTAATTTTAAGGTGAAAATGGAACTGGAAATTGAGGATCTGGAATAAGGTTGGTTGTTTTCAAATTGTTGGGATGGACTATTCACTGAAAGGGTTCCCGTGACCCAGGACCCCAGTTAGGTGATCACTGATTTAGGGCAGTGGGTTCCAAACTTGGCTGCCTTTGTAATTACCTGGGACATTTAAACCACAGCATCAGATCTGTAGGCTTTAATCCAGACCCACTGAATCAGAAGAAGTTTAGAAAGCAGACACCCAAAGATGACTTGAAAAATTTCTTTAGTTTATTCTGATAATTAGCCAGATTAGGTAAATATTGATTCAGAAAATGAAGTTGAGTTAAAAATGATGGAAGATACATGTACTGACTAGCCACTTTTATTATTTACTGGTTAGTTTTGAAGGTTACAGAATATTTCAATATGACCTAGAGCTTTGGCCAGTCTTACTCCTGTTTACCCAATAGAGAAATCTGAAAGTATAATTTTTCTTCCAAATAATCACCCCCAACCACAGAAAACTAGAACCATTGGATTTTTTCCTCTTTTGGACACATAAAGTCTGACATCATAAGCTAACCCTTATATGAGCTTGGCTTTGTTAATTGGTAATAACGTGATCAGTTGTTATATTTTTATCCTGAAGATCTAATATAAGAATGCAGTATTGCTTGTGATCAGTTTGCATTTATACTAGAAGTGTGATATACTATGTCATGGTTATAATTACTATCCAAAGTCTATAAATTAGCATATTGTCCATGCCTTATAGGCAAAATGTTGATGCTTTGTAAGTTAAATAAGTTTTTCATAGACATACAGTAAATCAGGACGAGGGTTGATCTTGAGCGTTTTGATAAGATTGAAATGCTGCATTTTCTCTGTAGATAGTGCACTACAGAAGGAGATTCAGGACGGAGCTCCACCCCTGACTCGCAGTCAGGAACCTCCAAAGCCTCCAGAGACTCTGTCACGACCCATTCGCCGTCCTTTAGTTTTAAAAACTAACTTTGAAGAAGAGGAGGAGGAAGGAGGTGAGCAGAATGGTTAGTGAACTTCTTCTCTGATTTACAATGCACATTCAAAAACCTCATAATATTTTCTATATATTTACTTAACTACTAGGATTTTATAATGTGATAGGCAGATTTGATGAAGAATAGCTTTAAAATTATTAAGTATATTAAATTTATTATGTTCTAATTTATTTTATGTCTACACACATTTATTATTTGGATTGGGAAGCTTTTTGTTATATGGCTGGGAGACACATTTTCTGTTTAAATGTGTACAGTCACTTGTAGGGATACTAATAACTCCTTTTATTCATATATAACTTAACATTGATATGTTTGTCCATCTGTTTATTACATGATAACATCTATCTGCCTCACATTTAATCTTTAGAGAGTTTATGATTTATAAAGCCCTATCAAGTAAACTTGGCAAAAGTATGAACAAGGTTAAAATCCAGTTTTTTCTTCCTTGTCTATCCTGTTCCTCCCATGTTATCACAGCACTGTGGTGCCAACATGAGTATGCGAGACAAACCTGCTGAAAAATAAACTCTCTCTCTGTCTTTGCCTCAGAATGTGTCCTTCTATGGGCTACAGGCCACCATAGTTTCTGTGCTCGGGAATGCATAGGACCATGTAGTCTTATCTTTGTCTGCTGTAGCTCTGTGTCTCCCATATCTACCTCTCTTTCCAAATAAGCAAATGTGATCTCAACATGTGAATCTATATCTCCAGCTTAAGACACAGAATGTATAGTTAGTCATTTCTTGTCTCTTGACTGAGTCTTTCTAATATGTGAAATATAGAAATAAGAAATATTTGCCAGTATACAAATTATTGATTAAAAAAATTACAGAAACAAAATAGTAATCCATCCATGAGAACAATGTTTGTTTTTTATTTTGGTTTATAAAATTTCAGATTATTTAGCTTTGGGACAATTTAATTTAAAACAAATATATTCTATAGATGCTTCTAGTGTGTGGACAAAGACTCCTGAAGAAATTGAAGAAAAAAGAGCAATAAAGGAGATGTGTTATAAATCTGGTAAGCAATCAGACATTTGCGAGCATTCTAACATTTGATGTGACAGATATACTGACAATTACTTTTCTTTTGGGAAATTAGGTGAATATTACAGACTTCATACTCCCCCTGACATTTCGTCCTTAAAAAGCACATCCTCTATAGCAGAAAAAGAGTTAAAAAAGCCTTTGGAAAATGGCAGTGAATTGCAAGAAGGTAAGGAATTAAATGGTAGTATTTAAAGATGATACATTAGAGATACTTGGTGTGATTGGCACTGAAGTGTTAGAGTTAAATGATAAAAAGTACATCAGAACTGAGAGTGAGAAGTACATTTATCACATGACCTAAATTTAATATAAAAACTGCTGTTAATGTAATTATATTTTCCCAGGAGCCACAAAATGAAAACTTCATAAACACATGCTGACACTATATACCCCATGCAGTAATTCTGTAAATAATTTGTTTCTACCATTTTATTTGTCTATGGAAATATATCTTCATGTGAAATAGGTGTAAATTTTTCTTCATGAATGGACAGACAGGACAACCCAGCCCTAGAATGACCTAAAGGAGATAGATACACAGAATGAAGTTAGAGGCAGAACTAGGGTATATTTCTTCATTAAATGAGTGCCTTCTGTGTATCAGGCAATTTCAGTGACGCTGCAGGTGGGTAATCCCAAAGCTGTGACTTTCGTGGATCTTATATTTGGGTAAATCTGATTTTACTGTTGGTGAAGATTTTTCCTTTGCCAAGATAAGAACATTGTTTTTATTGTTAAAAACAATGCCAAGATAAGAACATTGGCATTGGCATAAGAACATTTTCCCTTGCCAAGATAAGAATGGGTGTAAAACCAGGAACTCAGAGAAAAACCTACAAATGCCATAAGTTTATATAGTTTTTTTCGCTCCTAAGATGAGTTGAAAAACAATTTTTGCAGGAGTGGGAATGATTTGAATCCTTTCCTACCTTAAAAAATATAAGAAGCGAACAAAGTTGGGAATCAAGATAAGCATAGGATAAAGATTGAAGTGTCTGTCTTGCAAGTACGTTTGTGGCAGACCATTCAAACGTGTGGCGGTAGGTGGCAGCAACACACCATCAGATGTTGGAATCATATAAGGAAGGACAGGATTGCCTACATTACCCAGACAACACAAACAAAAAACCAAAACAATAATTAAACAAATATAAAGAAATCGAGTCAGCGATAAATATTTTAAAGGTACATTATAAAGACAATTCTTTGCACTTTTGCTTTATGATTATGTTTATTGCTATTACTAATTTTATTGTATTTTATCATTTATGCTATTACAGTTGCCCCCACTTCTTCTCCCTTTGCCCCCCTCCCCCAAGTCCCCTTCCTCCCCCTCAGGCAATCCCCTCATACTGTCTGCATCCGCGGGTCCCCTGGGTCATGCATATACGTTCTTTGGATAACCCCTCCCCCTTCTTTCATCAGTCCTCCCCTCTTTAAAAAGCTTTCCATTTAAAAATACAATTTCATGAATATACTTTACCTGGATATCCCAAAATGTTATCATTTATACATGAGACTTTTCATTTTCTCTCTATAAATATATGCATTGTTATTATTTTTTAACAGTTTGGGAGTAAGTTTCAGACATGATTCTCCTACATAAATTTTATGTGACTATAATATAAACATCAATATCAGGAAATCACCACTGACACAATACTACTTATAGGCTTAAAAAAATTTTAACTCTTTGTGCCATGGATGTCCTTTATAGCAAAATGAAATCTTTTCCCTTTAGAATCCAATCCAGAACCATGTTACTTTAGATTTTCGTTTTTTTTTTTTTTTTTTTTAAGATTTTATTTATTTATCTTTAGAGGGGAAGGGAAGGAGAGAGGGAGGGAAACATATATTTCCTTTCATTCCCCTTGGGAATTTCTACAAGCCAGGTAGATTTTCGTATTTCTTTTATTCTGCTTTTAATTGACTATGGGAGCAGGGGCAGGACAGGGGAGAGCAATGGGGAAAATGCGGGACAACCGTAACTGAAAAATAATAAAAAAATAATAAAGAAAGAAAGAAAAAATTAGAGATATATAAGGAAAATGGTGACACGTTTTTATCACAGTATAATTAGCATTTTTAAGTCAATAGTAGACTAATACTTTTCACTCAATTTGTTCATAGTGAATACATATAAACAAAGAATTATAACAAAAATTCATTATATAAAAACATTAAATAATCTATAGTATACATACAAGATAATGTTAGATTGCTTAAGTTTTTGTCATTATTAATTATCTACATAAGGGAAATTAATTTGCTTGACACTTTCCTGATAATTATATAATTCTTTAAAAATTCATATATTTATAAATTTATTATTCATCATATCACTATATAAACAATACTTGCATTAACTTTTAGGCTTTTTATTATTATTACTACTATAAACTTATGTAAGCATCTAATGGTTTCTGGGTAATTAAACTTTTTTTCTAGGGGATGGTCTTACAGTTCCAACAAAACTAAGCTCAATTGAAAGGCAAAGTGAGATAAAAGCATCATTGGACAGGAAACCAAGGGCTGACATTGCTGCTTTTGAAAACGGAGGTGAGCTATTTATTATTGGTCGATTCTCAATATATCATTATATAATGAGTGAATCTGAATTTTCTTTTATAACTAATTTTGTTTCATCAAAATCTTTTTGACACTTTTATTGTTGGCTGTGTGTAAGCTCCTTAAGGCCAGAAACTGTGCATGATCAGTTGCCACAGACGAATCCCTGCAGTAGAATGTCTGGCACTCGATGTGTTCTGTGTCAATATTTGTAGAATAATTAACTTTGTGTTTAGACAATTAAATGACTGGATGAACAGAAACATGTGGGGGCAACTTTGCCTGCAAAGTCCCCCCCCCATCCACCACGGATGAAAGTGAAACTACCAAGACATGATCTGCTTGGGGAGGAAAGGTGGCCAATCTCTCAAAGGAGAAAGGTCAAGAGCCCCTTCCTCAAGGGGCTTTTATTGGGTTTGTTTGCACAAGAATACAGGTAAGGATCAAACAATAGGTAGCATTCAAAGAACTATGAGGGCTTATTCTCAGTCAGAGTCAGATAGCTAAAGAACCATAAAACTTTGAGGAACAAACTTCTTGCTTGGACCCTTATCATTTAAATGAGAACATCCTAAACAAAGCAGGTTTCACAGGATTTTACATATTCTTTCTTATGCCTGGTCACCCTGGATTCCGCTCTAGCCAGCACAGGCCTGCACCACCTTCCCCATCATAGGTTTTTAGGCTTAAGTGGATTAGAGCCAGGAAACGCTTCTCCCAGAGGACATGGGGACGGGGGCTATGTCAGAATAGCAGGGGGGCAAGGGTCCATCACTCCCTCTTTGTAGCAGCTCCATGAGTCCTTCCATGAAGGCCTCCCAAGTGATTGTGTCTGGCTTAGGTTGCTCCTCCTCTGAGGGGTCATACTCATCATAGACTAACCGACCAAGCACTGGGGGCAGGGGACAAGCTTTGTCTATTTAGTGGCTCACAGTCCGGAGGTCACTCACTCAGCCTTAGCCATGGGGGGCAGTTACAACTCCTGAAACCAGGCAAAGTGGTTCCCAACAGAAACATATTTTAAAAATTTACAGATGACTGGAAGTTAATATGTTGGAACAATGAACCAAGTTTAACCAAATACACTCAAACTGGGAAAACAAAATACTGAATTTAAAAATTAAGTCAAAACAAATCACAAACCTAAATATAAGTCCTGAAACAATAAGTTACATAGGAAGAAAAAGTAAGTTCTAACCTTATGGACCATTTTTAAATTTGACCCCAAAGGCAAGGGAGCAAAGGCAAAAATAAATAAATGGGATGACACCAAACTAAACAGCTTCTGTACAAAAGAAACTGCCATTAAAACAAAAAGGCAACCAACCAAATGGGAGCAGATGTTTCTCCCAAACAGCTCTGACAAGGGGTTAATACCCCAAATGTATAAAAAACTCATACAACTCAACACCAAACAGATAAACAATCCAATTAAAAACTGGGCAGAGGACCTGAACAGACACTTCTCCCAGGAAGACACACAAATGGCCAGTGGATATACAGAAAGATGCTCAACTGCACTAGCTTTCAGGGAAATACAAATAAAAACTGCAGTGAGAAATCACCTCACACCTATTAGAATGGCTGTTATCAACAAGAGAAGTAATAACAAGTGTTGGAGAGGTTATGGAGAAAAAGAGATGCTCATTCAGTGCTGCTGGGAATGTAAACTGGTTCAGCCACTTTGGAAAAGAGTATGGAAGCTTCTCAAAAAATTAAGAATAGAGTTAACATATGACAAAGCAACCTCTCTTTTGGGTATCTGCCCCCCAAATTTGAAAACGTCTATTTGCAAAGCTATATGCACCCCTACATTCACTGCAGCACTATTCAGGGTGCCCAAGACATGAACACAATCAATGTATCCTTTAACAGATGGTTGGGTAAAATGTGGTACATATACAATGATACTACTCAGGCGTAAAAATGATGAAATACAGCCATTTGTGACAACATGGATGGTCTGGAGAATACCATGCTAAATAAAATAAGTCAGATAGAAAAAGTCAAGAACCATATGATTTTATTCATATGTAGGAGGTAAAATTTAAAGCAGCAGAGGAACAAAAAGTCATAAACGCAGACAACAGAGTGGTGGTTACCAGAGGGAAGAGGGTGGAGAACTAGTAAAGGGTGAAAGGGGTCAAATGTGTGATGACAGAAGATTGGCTTTGAGTGATGGACACACGATACAATAGATGATGTATCACAGAAGTGTACATTTGAAACCAACATAATCTTATTAACCAGTGTCACCCCAGTAAATTTAACTTTTTAAAGATGACTTATTAAAAGCAAGGGACAAAAGATCAAGGTGTTATGGTAGGTTTTCTTCAAGTTGGGAAAGACATGATACAGATCGAAGGGGAAAAATATTTTCTGTTGGCCACAATGTCTCAAAATAGTTCGGTACCATTTGTCAGCTAAGGTAAAACTTATGTTGAATTATGAGGAGCAGTATAAGAAAATTAGTATATGTGATAAGTCATTCAAAGTACTTAGAGGAGTGTCTGACACAGAGGAACACTCCATCAATGTCGTATATTATTATACTGGTTTCACTAGGTTCTGTACAGGGCAGCCTACATTTGAGTGTCACCTTTAAAAAAGGTTACATGTAACACTTATTGCATATTGAGAAAGGGTGACTTGTGTGCTGAAGCATCTGGAAATTAAGTATATAAGTACTTAATTTAATGCAACTATGTATATTTATTGTGTAAAACCAGAAGACCTTTAAGGAACACAAAAACTGCTTTCATATATCTGAGGATATTATATGGAAGGCAAATTATATTTACTGTATCTGTAAAGGGTGGTAAAAGGTAGAAGCAAGGATTGTTATATGTTAAAGGAAAATTAATTGTGTTGACTATGTAAATTTTCTTGCAATTAGCAGTATGAAAGTGTTCATACTGTGTATTCATAAACACTTATATGCACACGTATTACTCTAAATGTATATGATGTTTACACGGGGATGGTTATCCCTGAGAAGTGATTAAACAAAAGTGGACAAAGTGGGTATTGCAGTGGAGGGTAATCCTGTGTTGAAAAGGAGTTTTGTAAAACTTGCTGCCATCACTGCCACTGACAGTAAGGTGTTGTCACAGGAGGTGACTGTTACGTTCCACAGAGGATCCTATTTCTTGGAGTAGAAGAAAATAAAGCATTAACTGAAGAAAAAGAAATCACCCTGTCAAAATGTTCAAATGCTAAAGGTAATAAACCACTTATAATTTTAAATAATCTCTAATTTGAATAGATATGTGAAGTTTAATTTTTGTGGGAATCATATAATAGGCAAGGTAATAAATAAAATAACACTACGTACACTAAACAGGGGTCAAGGGCCCTAAGGTTCCAGCCCTGGTTCTGGCCCTACTTGTGTGACCATGGCGCTCGATCTGATGAACCTGGAAAATTAGCCTGTCGGACAACATCATTTCCCGGAGTCTTGCTAGCTCTGAAGTTACTGGTATTCTTAAATAGTTGTACCAAGTCATTTATAGTTTCTTTTTCCAACATGATACACTTTGTATAATTAAATTTTCTTAGAAAGCTTTGTCTGTGAACACTGTGAAGAGTTTTAATCTCAGGAGGACTTCCATGACTTAATATTACAGACTCTAGTCTGTGAATAACCAAGAGCTGTGATAGTAAAACACATGCTCATAGTTTTATCATGCCCCTGCCATGCTTAGAATCCCCCAGCTGGTGCCTCTCTGGTGGGCAGCTCTCCCAGTCACTGGCTAACATTACAGCGTCCTGTCATTAAAGGGCCTGTCACAAATTCTCTATCTAAATATTAACCAACTTCATCTGCTATTTTTCACTAATAAATGTACTCAAGAATAGGAAAAGTCATTTGTAATCAAATTAAAGGATCGTTATGGAAAATATATGTATATCTCTTTTCCTCTCTCTCTCTCTTACTTGGAGTTGGAAAGGATTTGCCCAATCCATCAAAAACAAAACAAAACAAAACAAAACAAAAACTCTAAAGCTAAATAATAGTAGTAGCCATCACCCACATTTGGCTGCTTAAGTTAATTAAAATTAAATAGAACAAAAAGACTCAGCTCTTCAGTTGCACTAGCCATATTGCAGGTGTGCAATACCCATGTGTGACTAGGGATGGCCAGTACAGACAGCACTGATTTACACTGTTTTCATCACTGAAAGCAGCCGAACTTTGTTCTATGCTGCTCCGAAGCATAGAAGAAAGTGAATGTTTTTACACCTCCAATATTTTTGGAACCTCAATTTACATTGGCATGTTTTAGGTCAAATTGATAACATTTTAATTCTTTTGCATACTTATTAAAAGTATTGCCACAAATATGTAATTTAAATACTGAAGATAATAGCTATATTTCTGGATTGTCAATGGTTTTTTTTTTTTTAGTAACAAATTTTGGGGACTCAGGGAAGCATTAGGGAATTTCAGCAATGCATTCTAAAAACTAGCATACATGTGTATTTTTATATGTATATTTTAAAAGAAGTATGCCCATTGTATAATGTGTGAACATTGAAATGCCAACTGAGACACCTCTTTTACTAATACTGACATTTTATTTTCTTAATTTGCTTTAAAAGAGAACAAGGACAGTCCTCCAAAGTGCTCCCTAACTACCCAACTAGCACCTACAACCCATGTATTAAATGCTACTGAGAATATCAGTTTGAAGTGCAGAGAGGCCCCCTCTTCCAGTGTGAGCCCTATTTTCAGCCTTAGGCATGTTTGTTTCAGCATGGATTTGTTTTGCTTACTTGAAATGGAACTTTTAAAAAGAAATTTAAAAAGAATGGTGTACAAATTATTTGGGATTAAGAGTCAAAGATACTATTTTTTTTTTTACTCTGGCAATGAATTGTGATGTAGGTCCTAGTAAACAATACACTTTCCCACTATTTTAAGTTAGGAATTAAAATTAATAGCACGCTACATTCTCAGAAGATTCGGTAAATAGTGCATTTTAATTTAACACAGTGGAATTTAACACATTGACAGGTTTTTATTATGTTTCAGATTATTTTTCTTGATTCGGCTTCTCCTTGCCATTCAGTGCTCTGAGCTACTTTTTGTGATACGTTTAGGACTCACAAATCTTCCAGTCTGTTTCCTTCCCGCCTTTCTCTTATTTTATTTATTGAAGCTGTATAATGTTCCTGGATCTCAGCTAGGCACTCAGGGAGCTATGATGCTTCATCCCCAAGAAGCCCAGTTTACAGGCACCTGTTAAAAACACGGTTTCTAAATCCTAGGAGTGGGAGCCCGAAGTCAGGGTGGAGAGTGATATTTGAACAGGAGATGGTGAATCAACGTTTTATTGGAGGTTGATGCTAAAGTTGAGGTTGAGTGGGAGGGCAAAGACATTTATTAGTTCACCATGGAGAGCTAATGCAACCAACTCAGTGCATTTGATGTTCATTTTCTCTGTGCATTAGTTATTGTGAATGTTCAGGATCTCTGTACAGAGAACTAAGAAAAACCGCTCCTGTCTACTAAATTCTTTTAATACTCTCTGGAGAAATATACCCTAAATTTCCTGGAAAATCCAGCATGCATACAACACTTTTGATGAAAAAATATACAAGTAAAAAGTGAATAATCTAGTGATTTTAGCACGTAGAAATTCTTTTTTCATAAGACTTTCTGTACACAGAACTTCATAAGATTTGAAAAGGATAAGGTAAAATTCTTCAAAAGTATTTTACATTAATCCAACCCCTTCAGAAATAGTAAATTTGGCTAAAAATGTGAAAAATGATTTATGTTCAAAATAATTCTAAAACTTCTTAAATAATATTATGATGAGATAGATACGGAACTATATTTGGACTATAATTTTATGTACTTTTAAAGACACTCCTTTGAAGAAAAGCATTTTTCTTTGAGGATTGTTACTGATTGAAAGTTCTCTCATCTATTTTCAAGATGGGTTTTTTTTTTTGCTACTTAAAAATAAAGCATCCTTTGTTTTAGAAAGTAAAGTATTAGCTTGGTGAATTTTTTTCTTCTCTTGCTTGGCATGTAAATGCACAGATATGTAATTATCACCATTAGTAATGTTCAAATGAAAGAGTCTTTAAAAAAAACTGTACAAATTTGTATTTTCTCTAAGTGAACGATGTCCAGCCAGTGAGGAAACCTCATTTTAAAGGCGTGAAAAAAAGAAAATGGATTTATGATGAACCAAAGAACTGTCCCGGCCAAGGAATGCGGAGAGGTAGTGTCCATGTGTTTGATATTTCTTCATTGTAATTTTAAAAGAGGTTAAATATCAAATAATATTTTATACACGAAAAATAGATACCTGAAATATGCTATTTTAGATGTCAACTCATCTACCATAATGTTTGTTCTTTCAGCTTACACTGTTTTCCATTGTGCTAGTAAACACAATTTGCACAATGTTATTTATGGTACAAAAGCAGCTTGTTTATCCCTCACTCTTTCCCCACTTTATTTTACAGCAGTGGAGACACCAAATCTAAAAAATAAAATGAGTTACCATCACAATAATAAAGACAGAAATGCTGAGGGTGCATCTTATATCCGTGTTCAGAGGGATGCTGTCAGGACTGTCTCAGTGAGTGCCCCTCACTGCAGCAGGCCCACAAATGGCTTCAACAATAAAATCAATGTTAACAAGGACCCCAAACTCAATCTCTGTCCAGGTGAGGTACTTACAAGGTTTACCCATGTCTGTGGTTTGCATTCCCATGGAATTTCCTGACTGTCCGGTGAATCTTCATTGCTACCTACTCCCTGTTTTATTTCCAGGCCATCTCCACCATCTTAGAAAAATAGTGAGAGGGTTTCTTCCATGTGCAGGAGTGATCTAAAGGATATGGAAAAAAATATGTTGGTGCAGACGACTTGACATTGAACCTTCATAGCCTTGTGTCTCAGAGCACTGTACTTTGTTTCCCGTACTTTGATAGCTTTATCTCACTCCTGAGGATTGTTTTCAAATGACTGACATTTTCTTGTTCTACTAAGTGCATTGTTCAATTATTACTTTCAGGCCAGTGCCTGTTTTTTTTAAAGAACTTCATGATTATTTTCTGAAAGGGTTAGGTTGAGGGTTAACTGCAGTATCTTTGACAACCTCTCATCTCTCCCCACCATGTACAGATTGCTTCTAAATTATTTCTTGTAATAGGCAGAATCACAGTGTGTCAGGAAGTACAAGGCCACAAGGGAGGAAGGAACCACATTTCTTTTGAAGAAAATCCCTGTCTCAGATGAATTTTGCTCTTTCAAAAGTTGTGTCTAACTTTTCTCAACCTAGTGAAAGACCACTCAATTCCCTACGATTGCAGGTTTATATTTTCCTGTGTTCACAGTCCAGTTAGTGGAGTTCTGAATGTTTTATACTTTGTGGAATATAGGTTAAAACTTTGTCTCTCTTAGCACCTTTATTTTATAATTTAAACTGCAATTGGCTTTATTTAAATTGTTTTTCTTCTATTTGTTTTAAAATAAAATGATGTATGGACTTATATATAAAAATACTGTTTTAGTTAAATTTTAAATTTTATTTCTTACTATCATATTATTATTAATTTTATTATATTTTACCATGAGTAGATGGCTGTGAAGAATGCAGTAACTACCAGAATAATTTGGTGCCATTGTCTGTATTTGTGTTAAGGTGGCCACCATTATACTCACTCTTACCTATGTGTCATTAGTGCAAATGTTGACATAGGAAAAAACGAGTACATTTTTAGTATTATTTTGGACCAGGCTTTGGATCATAGTTGCACGGTGGTACTTGAAAACACAAATACAACATTGTTCTATGATAGTTCAGATATAGAGCTGTGGGAGGAAAGTTGATATTTAAGGACCAAGTAAGTATATAAATGCTTTGGTTTCCTGGAACAGAGAGTGCATGATGGTAGAGCAATCTGCCATTAGGGGAGCCACTTCATGGAGGGGAAAGGGAATGGGGCTGTACCTCCCAGACCAATCTTCTTTCTCCCCTGCCCTCCCCTTTCCTTCTCTCTCTTCCCCTTTCTTTTCTTCCTTCCTTCCTTCCTTCCTTCCTTCCTTCCTTCCTTCCTTCCTTCCTTCCTTCCTTCCTTCCTTCCTTCCTTCCCTCCCTCCCTCCCTCCTTCCTTCCTTCCTTCCTTCCTTCCTTTTGCCTTTCTTTCCTTTTCCTTTCTTTTCTTTCTCTTTCTCTCTTTCCTACAAATATTAGCAGAATTGTGTATAAAATCATAGTAAAACAAGACAAAGAAGTATTTTTCACATCTAGCTACCATTCTTTCCTCTAGCTTAGTCACATGGAAGACAGCCTTACCTGAGGAATTGGACAGCCAGTTAAGAGATGTGTAACCATGTTGATCGATAATTTAAACAGTCTTAATAAGCTCACCTGTTTCCTTGATCTCTTAGAGTTTTAATGCTAAAATGATTTAGAGAATAATGTTACCTCTGAGATGTTTAAAAGTTTGAAACACTTCTAGAATATGGTTTTAAAGTTATACAATATTTAACTTCAGTCTTTTTTTCTCAGATAAATATATATCAACATCATATAATGGTTCAGCCTGGCAAAAAAGAATTCCTTTTTCAAAAACATATTCGAAAACTAAAAAAATATATACAGGTAAATATTTACTAAAGATTTTAATGTATCAAAGAATTCTAAAAACAAAGAGTAAATTTGTACACTCAAGGAACATATTCTAGAAAATTTAAAAATTTTTCATGGTACATAAGAACATAATTAATTGCAATTAAGTGGATCTTTTTCTACTAGCAATTAATTTTACTTTGTCTTATTGTGTTCTCTTTTGCTTTTCTTACTTTTATGTGTTATCAGAAATTTCTTGACATATTTCTCTATTAGCTACAAGCATAGCAAGATTATATATGTTAAATTGCATTCTTTGTTAAACTGCAAATCACATATATGAAACTATATCTTGACACAGAATATGAAAGCTCTACTCTATTTTTCATAGACGGATATTGGTTGGAGAGGACTTATAGGGCCCCTAAGATAAATTTTCAGGCCAGAAGTTTATAATGACTGTGGTCTCCTTCTGGTTGTACTCTGTTCTTTAGGAGGGTTTGGAGATGCTAGGAATCTCCTCAGGGTACAGGTTTGTAGCAGAGTGACCTCAGGTGATTCTTTTGCTAAAAAGCTTTGGGTCTTCTGCAAGCCTATTCTGGGCCCAGCTCAGTAGGTTTGGAAAACTACACAGGGTAAAATGGTTTCAGTTACTTTTCAGAAACTTTGAACCTTTGAGATAAGGTTCTAAATAGGGAGGTCTTACCTAAATCATTAGCCTAGAACTTTCACAATCATCCATTATTTTTTATACAAAAGTTTCCCAGAATGAACCAGATCATATCCAGACTAGAAACTGGCCTCTTTCTAAAGTAAATAGTTGAGATCTTCTAAAGCAGTATTTCTCTGAATTTTTCTGACTGCAACTGTGCCATAGTTTGCAGACTTGTGTGTGTGCATGTGTGTATACTGGGGTCAATTTTTTTCCTATCCTCAAAACATATTGTACTGCAAGAAAATTCTGTTGCAGCACAATTTAATCAACTATGGTTTCTTTTAATTTTTGTGGGATTTTTACACATTATGACACTTAATTTTTTTTGAGGGGGAGAAAGTAAAAAGATCAATGGAAATGTTGGTTAAACCACACATTGATGAGCCACGAATTACAGAGGATCTGGGAGAAGGAGGGGTCAGTTCAGATCATGAAACATGTACCATGCATGTGTGACACAAGAAAGAGGAGGTGACAGGGGATGTGATTTGACAAAACCACTTTTTTCCTTTTAATCCGGAGAGTAATGAGGAGGGCATGGAGAGGCAGTAGAGACCGGATATAGTGTAAAGTCACTGTCCCCTACTTTTCTCTTACCACCTCCAGCTATGGTAGGCCCCAGGTGTAGAAAGATCAGTGATAGAATTCCCCTTGAAGTTTGTGAGATCCGAGCATAGAGAGGATCTGCATTGCACTTCCTGGATGCAACCTAGGGGAAGAAAGCTTTGGAGAGCTTTTCAATGTCATCTGGTGGTGAGATTGTGGGGAGGGCAAGCATGATTAATACGAGAGGGTGGGAGACAGGCTCTTGAGATTCCCAAGCTCCAGGTTTTCTCAGGAGGGCATCACATATTGCCGTGAGTTTCAATAAAAATGAGTTCCTGGGAGAGGATGAATAGGCCTATACAAAGTCTCCCAGCAGGGACTGAGGGTATAGCACGAGGAAGAAGCCTTTTTGTTAGGCTCTATTGCAGGGGAAGGCTCAGCTGGAATCTCAGCAGATTTTTCTGCTATCATTCAGCAATGGCATCCTTTTTATTTGAGGTATGATCTGAGGGCCACCAGCAATGACATCAACTAGGAATTTGTTAGAAATGTGGAATCTCCATCTCATACCCGAGGAATCAATCTGCCTTTTAACAATCCCTGGGTTGTGGGGGATATTGTGGGCCACCGTTCAGCAGCACATGGTCCACACCTTGTTGAGGCACAAGATTTTTGAGATGGTATTTTCTTTCTAGTTGTCACATGTTAGAACCATTCTTCCCTGTTCCCACCATAGAATTTGGGATAAGCTGCAAGAGGGGTGCAAAAGGGAGAAAAACCCTGAGAAAGAATTTCAAATCTGAATGTGACTGAAATATAAATGTGAATTAACTAAGAAATCACTGAATTGGATGAAGTTTATGTGCAAAGACCCAGTAAGTTTTTTATGTTAGGTAGAAAGGGAACTTACAGTCAAAAATTAAAAAACAACATTATAACAAAATAGAGCTAGTTTTCTTATTTACCCATGCTTTTGAATGGGAAATTTGTAACCCCCAAACTCTTACCCTTTGCAATTGTTTTTGTCACAAGAAGAAGAGACACAAAGATTAGCTTGTGTTTCCTCCCCTGTACTTCCCATTAAGACACAGAGGAGCGATTTCAACATTTCCCAGTGAACGGATGGACTGATGGAAACGGGTGGCAGAAAACACAAGCTGCCACTAGTCTGTTCCTCTAAGAAATATCTGAGTGCCAAGGACTCAGAAATATGAATGGGCAAGAGGAACCTTTTGGGAAAATATCATTGGATGCTATGTGGATAATGCAATAGGAGAGGAAAATGTGTTTTGGGAATTGAGGAAAGTTGCCCAAAGCAAATAGAGGTGTCGTTCTCCTTGCCAGCCTTCTTTGAGGCCACATGTCCTTTCCAACAGGGATGTAGCTGGTGTGAGTGGAGGTACCTGACTCCATAGGATGGAACATTCATTCTGTTCATTCCGGGTTCTCCATGGTGCATCCTTATAAATAATATTATACCCATTCCTTTCCGTCCCTCCATCCAAATTGGAGTAAGCAATCAGAAAGAACAGTAAGCATCAGAACACAGTAAGCCTCAGAAAGAAGTGAAATTAGTTTAAATAGCATTTTGGAAATTTATGAATTAAAGCAATAGCTTAGTTTTTGTTTCACCTTTATATGTATGGTAATCAGCAAAGGACATGAAAAAATGTTGGTACCCTGAAGATGCTGCAAAAGAAAATAAATGAAATGTTTTGTGTATTTTATTAGAGCCAAGAAGAAATGGGAGCAAGTAAACCTGGAGGGTGAGAGAAGAGAGACATGAGAAAAGAGGAAAGTGCCAGACATTATCTGATTTACGATCAAAAATGAAAATTCAAAGAATGAGATATTCAAGTACTCCCCACTTTATAATGGGTAGCCAAAGATGTTAATGCAAATTCTGAAAATAAGATGCAGGAAGTACATTGTACCCTTTCACAACTGATAAAAATGCAAATTACAAACAGCTGCCTGTGTATTTATATATGTCTGAAATTCATTTGATGCATTGCCACAAGCATTTAATAAAATTTAAAAGTTTGATGATTAAAATCATTCTTTAATTGTAAACTAGCTTAGATTTCACAGATTGAGAAATAAAATTGTGCCTCTGATCCCTGTTTTGCAATTTCTTTACAGAAGAAACCTCACATTTTCTTTGTTTACCTAGGTTTTAAGGTAGGCCTTCAGCAATAATAACGGATATAAAGTGTAAATGAATTCAATGAAGCCCCAGGGTTATAATTTTGTGATGAGTATGTTAAAGGAATTCCAATACAAATACACGTTGATGTGTTGCAGAGAGAGACAGATTGGTTTATCATGAAGGGCAGTTACTGAACAATTTTTTAAAGAATGTTATTTCTTTATTGTTAGAGAAAAGGGAAGGGAGGGAGAGAGGGAGAGAAACATCAATGTGTGGTTGCTTCTCATGCACCTTCTACTGGGGACCTGGCCTCCAGTCCTAGCATGTACCCTGACTGGGAATGTGAACTGGCCACCCTTTGATTCACAGGCTGGTGCTCAATCCACTGAGCCACATCAGCCAGGGCTAAACAATGTCTTTTAATTGGCAGCTACACAATCTATCTGTTATGTGCTACATTCAAAATTAAAAAATAAACACTTCCCTACTATGAAACCAAAAATTATATGATCATACTGGAGGAAAGAACTTGCTAAAAATGAAAAGTGAGTTAATAACCTGGGATCCCAAGTCTTTGTAAGGTTTTAAGGCTTTTATAACTGCAGAAGTATAAATGCTTAAAGGGAGATACCATTTGAAAACTTATTTCAATGACTTTTATGCTTGTTTAGAAATTGTATCTTGAATAAACGTGTTTAACGTAATTTAAACATATTATCTGGAGAGTGACTGAAACAAAAATTTAAAATTAAAATTTTATTCAGACAACAAATATAAGGGCAATATAAGTAATTATTTTTTTCAAATGATGTTTTTGTAATTTTGTGACTTTTATACTTCTGAATTTATTAAAGCTCAGAACTTCACTGAGACTTGGGACACTTTTTATTTACATTTGCATTCATCCTGTGGATTTTTTAGCTCCTTTTTCAATGTTATTTGGGGGGTGAATATTAGAATTTTTAGAAATATTTTAAAACATTTTATCCCTGGCTAGTGTGGCTCAGTGGACTGAGCACCAACATGCGAACCAAAGGGTCACTGCTTTGATACCAGTTAGGGCACATGCCTGGGTTGCCGCCCAGATCCCCAGCAGGGGGTGTGTGTGAGGCAACCACACATTGATGATTCTCTCACTCTCGTTCTTTTTCCCTTTCTCTCTAAAAATAAATAAAATCTTTAAAAATGTTTGTAAGATTAATTTTAGCTTGTGGATTAATAAATCTTAGTTCCTGGCTTCTAAAGGTGCTCTGTCTACCCACTTTCAAAAACATGAGGATACAATCATTTTGTCTTCCATATGGCTTAGATAGAAATTAATACTTTACCAGCAAAATATCTTGGTGAGAAAGATTTGAGATGGATATAAGAAAAGAGCTGAGTTGAAATACTGACTAGAAAGAAGCTCATAGGAAATATTCTATAATTATACTTAAAAAACAGATTATATCCTTCCAAAGTGTCAACTAGTGATAAAGAAGGAATGATTCTCTGCAAGTGATTTAAGATGATTTTCTGGAAGTACAGATTCTCAGTGTGCATTTTTATTACATTCAGAAAGCTGACAAATCAATGAAGAATGAGAAAACTGCAAAGGAGGGCTTGGATGCCATTTCTTTGAATGCATACATGTATTATTACTGAATAAGTGAAATTTTTTACTGTGATATACTTTGTCTAAAGAACCAAGAAATTTATGGCATTAACCAACCTTGTTTTTATCTGTGATTTAGGGAAAATGAAATTGGTTTAAATGCGGTAAACTAGTAACTGAGAAGAAAAAATATAGCAAACCCTACCTAACATAAGAAAAGGTTTAGGGTAACAGAGATAAGTGGACAACCAAAAAGTTTAGTAAGCCAGAGAGAAGCTGTGCTTGCTGATTCCCGAACACAGAAGCAGTGCATTTACGTTGCCAGTGGTGGAAAGTTGCTTTTCTGGCACATAGAAAAGCTTTCAATGAATTTGACAGGATTTCTGTGATTCTCCTAGTCTCAAAATGCAGCATTTTTTGGATGTTTCATATACTAGTTTTCTAGAGCTTCCACAACAAAGCACCACAAATGGAGTGACTCAAACAACAGCAATTTATTTTTCTGTCAGTTACAAGTCTGAAATCAAGGTATTGGCAAAAGTGGCTCTTTCTGAGGCCTATGAGAGAATCTGCATCAGGACTATCTCTTTGGCTTATAACCACCTTCACTTTGTGTCTCTTCACGTCCTATGTCGTCTATAAGTGTGTTTCTGTGTTCCAATTTCCTCTTTTATAAAGACATGAGTCATACTAGATTAAGGCGCAGCCTAATGACCTCATTTTCACTTGATTACTTGGTAAGGATCCACTCTCCATATAAGGTCACATTCTGAAGTAGTGGGGGTAAGAACTTCAACTTACAAATTTTGGGGGGGCACACAAAATGTGAAGTAGGGCTTGAATGTCATTTTTGGGCCCTCCCATAGTGCACAAGTTGGCCTTAAATGACAAATTCACTCTAACATTTCAATCTCTCTAAGCCTTTGAAATTCTTTCTTCGACGGTAATCCAAGGCAGGTGTGGCATTTCCAGCTCACTTGCCTTCTGCAGCAACTTCTATTTCATATTTAAGCCAACCAACCAAGGAACCGACCAAATGGTTAAAGCCTTTCTAATTCCTTGAGAGCTGCAACATTGAATGCAGAATCTCTGCCCTAGTGGGTCCTATCAACAAATTAGTCCTGTTAACATTTTATGTTCCTTTCACCATTATCCTACATCTTTAATATCCATTCCCACATGTATTCCCAGGAATTCTGTCCATGTATATTAGAAAACTAGTTCTTTTGGAGTGTGGAGTACTTCCTCAGGTCATGCTTTGTACCTCACCTTTAGTGGCCTTGAGTCTAGTGATAAGTCCAGTAGCAAAGAGCCTTGGAGGGTGTCAGCCCTGAGGGTGATCAGCATTATCTTGCATGCCAAGTGCCTCAGGGTTAGTCTGAGATGCAGAAGGAGAGGCTGCTTCTACTGGCAAAGAAGACTCATCAGAATTTAGGTTCAATGATCCCATTCATGACAGTCTTCCTATATGTCCCTGTTCTAACTTTCAGGGTGGTATTCTTTCCCAATCAATTCTCTTACTTGAATAGTAAATGACTTGTGAGCCTGGAGAATTCAATTTGCATTGTAATTTAGTCACTTGCAGAATGACATTCTGGATTTGTTTTCCAGCAGTCAAAGCCCTGTGGCTATGGGAGTTGAGGGTCTTCTTTCAGGACAGGCATAGAAGCTTTCAGTCATTTATGTCACATGTGAGCTAGGAATTTAAATCCCTGAGCTCATCATTTTCTTTCCTCACTATATTTAGTGAAATTAGGAGCAACTAGCTGATATCATTGTATTTATATAGTTTGACAAAAATGCCCAGAAGTATCAATTGTATACATGGTCATCCAGGACCTATAGTGTTTGAATAGGGTTACCAATTGTGATATTTTGCATATTTCTATTGTCGTATCCCACTATGGTATGTCAGTGCTTTCTTAACCACTAGAAGTAGAGACATCTATGTCTTTAATTTATTCTTTAAATTTGAAAAGCAAGTCTTTAATTAGAAAATATGAAACATCTTAATCACAAAGGGAAGAATAATTTATTAAGAAAGATATAAAGCACAAGACAAATTGGAAAAGATTGATACATTTAAAATTTAAAAGATTGATATATTTAAAATTAAGAACTTCCATATGCTCTAAGTAGTTATATACATTGTGAAAAGATTAGTATAAAGTATATTATACAAATAATTGACAGTTTTAGTATACAGAATTATTCAATTTTTTAAAAATAATTTTTTATTTACAGTTGATAAACAATATATTAGTTTCAGGTATACAGTCCGGTGATTAGATATTTATATAACTTACAAAGTAGTCACCTCAATAAATCTAGTAATCATCTAACACCCTAACAGTTATTATAGTGTTATTGACTATATTCTCTTTGCTGTACTTTACATCCCTGTGACTGTTTTGTAACTACCATTTCACTCAATTTTTTAAAAATTTTATTGAGTTTATTGGAGTGACATCGAATCTAATCAGAATAGAGATCCAATTCCAGAAACCTTAGAATCAATTCAGAAAATCATCCTTAAGATTATGTTCCTAGATATCCAAGACGGTGCAGAGGTGAGTGGAAGCTACACTAATCTCCAGGATCAATGTGAAGCTACACTTTTCATCAGGATCATGTGAAATTACAACTAAATTTGAGAGAGATCATTCTGAATAACCAACTGAACATTAGCTGAAGAGAGGCCTTATAACCACGGACAGACTGAAGAAACCACTTCACTATAATGAGACTGACCCAGGGGAGGGAGCCGCAGCTGTCAGTTCCTGACACCTCCAAACCAGCTGTGAGGGCCAGTCACAAGCAGTGTCTGACAAAGGCCTATAGCACAGTCTTTGCAGATCTACCTAATAGATAGAAGCAAATACAAAGGAGCAGCCAAAATGGGGAGACAGAAACATATCCCAAATGAAAGAACAAGAAAATTCTCCAGAAGAAGAGCTAGATTCATCTGGAGGCAAACAATTTATCAGAGAGTTTAGAGTAGTGATTGTAAAGAT